TTTTTGGGCGGAGGGTGAGAAACGCATACTGTAATGCCTTCCTCGATATGGGCACTCCATTGCAACGAATGCACGTCCCTTAATTAAGTTTCCCTAAAAATCTAGGAACCAAACCATCAGTGCGTGAGCTATCCCACTTCCATGTGTAGAAGCTAACTTAGCCCAGTAGCTTGCCTCCCTTTCTTAATCAAGTAGGCGCCTACGTAATTAATCTGGAGCGAACCAAAAAACACACAAACGCATTCTTTTATCCCAGATTGGGATGGGACTGTATAGACTCTAGCCTTTGGATGGAGTGGGAACTTGATTGCTCTTTCTTCTGACAACGAGGCGCATAATGCAGCAAGTCTTGCAGAGCTGCAGGCACAGGCGCAGGCCTAGCATTCTCATTGAGAAGGGACGCATGTGAGAAAAGGTGGTCGCAGATTCACAGATCAACTAGCATGAGCATGGCAAAAGCACCATTGTTGCAGCAAAGGATACTGAACGTTTTTCATTTGGTCATCCTAGTTCTCGGTTAATTTTGGAGCAAAGATGGCAAGAGAGTTTCCTTTTTTGGTCCCTCATGGCTTTGTCGGGAAATACAGTCGACCGACTGCCCACATTTGGTATCACAGTTCAAGCCGGGGCAAAGAATCCATGTTTGGATCCAACTTTTCAGCACAATATACTTATCCATATTTGGATCCAAACGTTCACATAAATAGCCTTCATACCTGGCTTTGTACTCTGAGATGGCTGGAATGATTGATTTGGCCAGGCACATGCACAGGCACGGCAGCTCAGAGGTCGAATCCATATCACGCAGAGTATGAAACCACCCGCCGGGTTCAGGGGTCCTACTACTACCACCTACTCTCCATATCCCATGAAAGCACGTATCACCAACAAGTCGCTCCCAGATGGCTGAGGCACAAGTTCAGGCAGCAGAAGCTGCTGCCAGGTTTGCCCAGGAGAGTCTCGGGATCGAAGCAACTTGACTTCCTTTGCACAGAAACCCGAAGACTCTTCACAAGCGCAGTGGTGGTACTTGTATTGTAGAGGAGAGATGAACGCGGTAGTCATAGGGCGGCCCTCCTTTCTGTTCCTCTAGGGCTACCTCCTCGCAGGAACAGGCACAAGCCGTGGCCGAGGCACAGCAGCGTGCCGTGGTCCAGGCCGGCCGCAGTGGTTTCAATCAATCAGTATTGATTTCCTCTTAACCTAATGCCAATGGCCTCCAACCTAATAGCAATGGCCTCCAGCCCACTAGCGATGGCCTCCAGCCTACTAGCGATGGCCTCCAACCTAATAGTGATGGCCTCATGAAGGAATGTAGGAAGCGCTGCAAGTGTTTCGGAAGGCACAAGCTGCGGCTGCTGCGGAGCAAGCAAGGTTGGGTGCTGTATGCACACGTGGTATCTTGAAAACTAGTTTTTGTGGTCCGTACGTGCTGATTCACACCTGTGCTGTACCATGCAGCTGCTGTCCTTTCTCACCTATTCGCATGAAGACACCAGTCAGTTTATCAAAGTGATCCCAGATGGTTTGGGTTCGTCTCAAGGAATTTCGGGACCCCTCAAGACTTTTGGTGATTCTAGAGGTCACTGAGGTCCCCTGGAAGCCTCCGGGCAAAGTCTAAGAGACACCCACTGCAGGCTGCAGCAGCAACAGCAGCAGCAACAGAGGGAACAGGCCATTGCTCAGGCGAAGCAACGCCGTGAGGCTCGACCCGGTGGTTGTGACGCGATCCGTACTGTCTTCTGAATTTGTACTGGGTGTTAGATTGGAGAATCTATTGAACGATCTTAGCCCAATGTGCCAATGTGATAGGTTAAGTCCTTGTTTCTTGGCAATGTGGGATGTTCCAGCTGCAAGTTTTGAGACACAGACATTTCCAACTTCCCTTGACATTCTCAATTCTCACCTTTCCTTTTTGTGTCTTAGGCCAACACAAACCTACACACACACTCTTAGGATTTGTCCATGGACAAGCCCTCTTCGGCAAGTGAGCCGCATCAGAGAAAGAAAACTAAGAGCGCACGCCCTCCAAAAAAAGTGCCATGCTGCCAGTATGCTAGTTACCGTGATGTCCAGCCCTTTTTTAAGTTTTTGCAGGCTGAGAACATTCTCATAGCATGGCCTGTCTAGACATGATCCTTTCAGCGGTTGCTGGTCTTTCTCTTTCGTGAGGAGAAGCTGAAGGAAGCGCAGGCCGAGCGAGAGGCCGAAGAAAAGTTGAGGCAGAGCGGCTGAGACATGTTTCTAGGGGAGGTGAGTCACCAGAAATTGAGGACATATTCTAGAGACAGTTTCACAAGAGAAGTATCCTCTCTCTCTCTCTCTCCATATCTATATCTATATCTATATCTCTATCTCTCTATCTATCTCTCTATCTCTCTATCTATCTCTTTATATCTCTCTCTCTCTATCTATCTATCTGTCTGTCTGTCTGTCTGTCTGTCTATCTGTCTGTCTATCTATCTATCTATCTATCTATTTATCTATATTTAAGTGTTACTTTTTTTGAGGCTCATTGACCAATTTTGAAGGCTTCAGCTCCAGCTGCAACTATTATATTTGTAGTGGTGAAACTTCTGTACGAACCGTCTCATTTGCCAACATTTCAGTTGTCAGGGGCCTCTCTGGGACCATAGCAGTTTGCCTCACGAAGGTGTCATTTGCACAAGAAGCCCAATTCGAAGTGCAAATTCTGCAAGCGACACCAGGACTGGGATCGAGGTCTGATCCATTGTCTCGAGCGTGTTGTATTTTGAAGGAGGCTTCCCCTCTGCTCTGTTTGCTGTTTTTGCACGGGTATGACCATTCCCGGTGCTTCAGAAAAAGGCTCATGATTATCTACAATTCAGAGCGGGCATCCTTGTGCACAATCTCAAGTGAAAGCTGAAATCAGCAAGCTAACAGGAAATCTCAATTGTTCGTTGCCTGGCCTATTTCCTCTGAATGCTCAAAGATTGCTGCAGTGTGGCAGGAACACGTCACAGAGCGTGATGAGAAAAAGGCGGCACTGTCAAAGAGTACCGAAAAGGAGAGGAGATTTGATCTCAGTTGCCGCCTTAGCTTCGAAGCCGATGAGCGGCCAGTAGCAGTGTCGTCGTTAGAGCTTGCCAGGGAATGATCAAGAGGATCGTGCTTGTGGGTAAATGTCAAGAGAAGCTTGGAACCTTGAGCACGTTTGCAAAAGCCTGGTTCCTAAGTCGGTGCTCCTCGTGGAGCACTGGAGATCGTCAACACAAAGACCTATGGATTCAGCCCACTGCTTCAGACGCACGCAAGAACCTCAGACAAAAGCCTTAAAGCCAGAGAAAAAGATTGGTGACACAACCATTCCATACCATGTGCCTCTTTTGATATATATATATAAATATCGAAGGCCCAACCGTACATCGGTGGCCTAATGGTGACTGTTCGAGGTCGACCTACAAATTTCTTGTGCGTTGTGCTGAACAGACCTTACAGTTATTCCTCTGGAAATGATTCAATTCTCCGAGTCCAGGTAGTGGAGTCAGCTCACTTCAAGGCCAGTTTTGTCCTTTCACCAAGGTACACGATCTAGTTCTTTAGGAGCAACGACCCTGGAAGAACGGCCATGTATGCACATACATTAAACACATGTCGAAATGGGTGATTATGTAGACATGTCAATGATGCGTGTAAGATGATCTCTCCAAGTCGTATCACTTCATTTTTGCTGCACGCTGAGTTTGATTGAATGCAGGCACTCTTGTCCTTGGAATCGTTTGAGCAGATGATTGACGAGATGAATCAGCTCCTGGGCAAAACTGAAGGGTTCTTTCGCAGGCTTTGAAGGCCGGCAGAATACTACAAGCCTTGCTGATTTTGCTCATGACCCTCTCCAATGGCCCTGAATGATGTGGGAGGCATTGTACATCAGCAATTTTACTAGGGCCAGGGTTGATCATGCTCAACCAATCAAAAAGCGGATGTTGTACACTAAGTGCTGCCCAGAAATCATCTTGGACAACAAAATCCGGGGTCCACAGTATGAGGAGCCAAACAAAGTTCTTTGTTGGCAGCATTGTTGCAGAAGAACACGGACAACAGATGGCAACAGTTTGTGTCTTCCTGATGCATGACGAATCACCTGCCATTTGTTTCTCAGGTTTGCCGACAACATTGAGCCGTGCCCCTCCTGGGGAACTACATGGTGATTGAATCCTGTGTGACAAGTATGCAGACATGGCAGAGACATAAATTGCACCTTCAACAGGAGTACGAAGAGAATTTATCAGCCAGTCATTGTATATAGTGGGACCTTCACGCTTTCATTTCTTGGATCTCTTCTGCCCGAAACAATCACTACTTGCCCCACACGTTTCTTAAGGCCTTCGGTTACTACCCATGACGTTTCTTAGAGACCTTTTTCTTAGAGGCCTTTCGACCTCCACGTCGAAGGCGTGTCTTCTCTCTTTGGAGACTTTGTCAATACCTTTGTGCATCCAAACCACCCATAGCATCCCACAGCAGTTTCTGTCAGGTACATGCCAAACAGCAATACGACACCGTCAGCACTGTTTTGCTGTCTCTACCGGCTCTTCACCATGGGAATTGACAGCAACTTGGAAGAACGTGACAAACACAAAAAGGATTGGACAAAAACAGCTGACTCCGGCTTTTCTGGACAGCAACCAGTTTGGACTGATTTTAGCCAACAGACATAAAGTCACCTAGATCACAGGTTCAAACCCATTTTAAATGCAGAACGGAGCGAGATGAAGACCAATGAAGACATCCATTGTTTAAGCCAATCAACAAGCTATCGTTACCCAAGCATGATACCTTGGCCAGAACTCTTGGCTCAAGCCCCAAAGACTGTTTTGGCAAACCAAAAGATCCACCACTACTTGAGGGAAACACTTATGTATATTAGACGATCGTTCTGTCTAAATCTTGACACGAGGTTTTCCTGTTTCCCACTTTTCACAACACATTTCAACATACCTTTTTGATCCTTTCTGCAGCCAGGCCGACAACTTAGAAGGCGCCGGTCCGGCGTTGTATGAATCCAAAGCTTTGTGGAGAAGACGAAGCTGACCTTGCAGACAAGTGCATTTATGTTCCCATATATATTATATATATACGTTTAGGATTTTTTTTCGGCATCCACCCAATGGGTGAGCTGTAAACGGGCATTTCCGAGTGTGCCTCAAGGAAGCTCTATCACACGCTTAATGTAGATTATATAGGTTGTTGGCTTTGAGTATTCGAAGGGTCTGCTTTGTCAGATGTTGCACACAATGTTTAATATTGAACACACGCAAATTGTCATTGGTATGGGGACCTTCAATGTGGTGCTGCGGACGCAACTGTAGAAGTTGAATTTGCCGAGTGACTATCCGTTTTCATGGGACACCAAGATGAAGCTTTTTAAAGCAGCGGTGAGCTAACTATGGGCCGAGTCAGTTCCGGTTAAGAAAGGGAATAGCAGCCCTCCACTGCACCATGTGTGTTCCTTTGATTAGACTTCTTTGTTCAAACTGCTTGATCTGTCGGACTGTCGGACGCTTCACGTTTGTTTTGTTCATGTGGCCAGGCTGATGGACCATCCAGAGAATGCATACATCCGCTGTGTAGGCGGATGGAGGGGTGCTGAAGAGGAGAGCGCCTAAAGATGGCTGAGCCAAGTTCTTCTGTGGCAATTGAAAGGCCTTCAAAATGCAAAGAGGAAATATCAGGGAGACAACCTGAGCTGGTAACATTCAAGGTATGGAGACAAAACTGATGAGTATGCTCACCCAAGAGGGATAACGCCAACGAGTGCAACCGATGTGCTTTTTCCTCATTCACATCCCGAAAGAACCACTCCCGAAAGAACCACTCCCAATCGAGCTCTTTTGCAACACCAGTTTCAGCTGGCGGCCCATGGCACAGGTTTCCTTTTCGTGCGGTTTGGACTGGCTCCTGACTCGCTTGGCTGGCAAGAGTTGCAGTTCGTCCTCGGTCGCCTGCTTTTGAGTTGAAGACGCCACCCTGAACCAACCTCAGCAAACATGCTGTGCCTACCTGTGCCTCATCAGCAGTTGTTCATGGACTTGTTGGAGTGAGTAGGATAGAGTAGTCTATTCTCAAAAAGAAGAGACACTTTTTGCATTATGTTAATTTAGGCTCAAAGCCTTTAAAGAGACATTCCAAGTTGACCTCCGCCTTGTGACTCACAGAATGTCGCAATGCTCCGAACAGTCCTTGCTGGAGTCAACAAACAGCTTGCCACCCAGAGGTCCAGCTAGTTTGTCCGAACGGCTGACCTCTGGTTTGGCCATGTGCATAAGTGCGCCCATGCTGGTGGGCTTCTGATGCTTGCCTACGATGCTGAGTGTGATTTTGGGAATGGCCTTTAGCAATGATGTGATTTTTCTCAGCCACCAGCTGCAATTTGCACTGCTTCTGGCAGTTTTATCCAATTATGTCACCCATGAGCTACACAAGAGGAACGTCCGCTGGGCGCTTTGGATTGCCCTTGCTTCTCTTCTCATTATGATGGATCCTTTGCGGCATGTCCTTTACGATGCACAGTTCAATCCAGCTGCATGTGGACCACCTGGGACGTTGATGACTCGAAAGCAATTCTTTTCACTAGGGCTTGCTTGTCGCTGCGGCCAGATCATGGGAAACATCATGATCCTGGCCACAATGTTTCGCTCAAGCATCACAAGTGTTTTAGAGCGTGTGGGCTCCGGAAATGCAAAGTTCACCTAGATTGTGCGGATTCTATCCACTTGTATGACTCACCCTTCCGTACCAAAGAAGAAGCATTGGCATTCTTCTTCTGTAGTTCATTCCATCCTTCTACTTCAACCAAAGCGCAACAACTTCAAGAAACGGCTGCCATTCCAATTGTCTGCCAAATAGTCAGCTCCGGTTTCACCTAACTACACAATGTGAGGCATGGCATGGCCTTTCTGAAACCCGACATATTGCAAATAGACAAGGCCTCGAAACAATAGACAATAAAAGACATCTAGTTGTCACCACTCCACACAAGATGTTTCCAGTTAAGGCCATGTCCACTATATAAAGGTTGTTTTTGTTTCGCGTGTGTTTTTCCGGTCGGCCGTGGACTATTGTTGGTTCGACTGTAATCAGAGCAAATTGCTGAGTAAACTCTCGGAGGTTAACCCCGCAGCATCATGATGCAGGTGTAAAATCCAATCCATTGTTTTTAACAGTAAAACCTCACTGTTTGACCCTGTCTCCATCGTCTTGGATTTTCTACAAACCAAGACGATGACACAACCCTTCTGTAGATTCTCGTTTTGCATGTAAGACTCTTGGAGAAAGGGTCCAAGAGGGACATTTTACTGCAACAAACCCAGGATTTTTGGTTCCTGACGCAATCTGAGCTGACGACAACGACGACGACGCCGGCGACGACGACGATGGCGACGACGACGACGGCGACGACGACGCAGCACAGGGATTTCCAGTGCAGAAATGTTTGTACGCTGCATCCTTTTCGTCCCAGTTCAGCCAGGTCAGATCGATATATCGTACTTACATATGTACAATGTACATCTATAATTGTATCTATATATATACACATGTAATAAACTGACCACATCATCATATGACAGACCATGAATGCGGATGAACATGAAAACCAACGACAACGTTGTGAAGCCGATGACAATGTTGTGGAGCGGATGACAATGCTGTGACCCCGATGACAATGATGTGAACAGGATAACAATGTTCTATGAAAACGATTATAGCATGCTGAGGATGTTGTGAGGCTGGGCCAACACCCCCTCTGTTGACCCAACATGCTGCCTGTGAATCCTCTCAAAAGGTTGCATTTGTGTTTATGTTGGGTTTTTATGTTGTGATACCGAACAGCTGTTCTTGTGGCAGACTGAATTGAAGCTGCGCAGTGGCTAAGTGAAGACTTTGCTTGCCCTTGTGAAGCTGAGAAGCGCACAGGTGTTTGTGCAAAACCACTCAGATGGAATTGAATAGCCCAAAATCCAAAGGCTCGAGTAGGTATCCGAAGGTGTTGAGAAAGTTGAAAGTTGAGCTTCGCTTAAACGTCTTTTTTTGACCATCGCAAGCACCTTGGAGAAATCAGCTGAGAGAGGCATGCCACGGCAGCATTTAGATGCCAGAAAGACAGGAGCAGCTTTTGCGTCAATGATTGTAGTGAGCTTCGTCCATGGTCTTGCCAAACGTGCAGACTCAAGACAGAAGTTTCCTTGCAAAACCAAGTGCGGAATTTCAGAGCTGACATGGGATGAAAGGATAGTGTAGAACACGGTTTTGGCTCTCCCAAAGTGTCTACAACTTCGGAGAAGCACATTTTCCTCATTTGCCTGGCTGACATGATTCCCCGGAGCCATGGTTTGGCCAGGTTGTGGAACTGGCTCGGGGAGTATGTGTTGGATGATGAGGAGCTGCGGCCAGCCAAGGAGAGCCCGGAGAGCTTGGCTGGATCATTTCTGGCTTGGTGAGCCTGGCCGTTTGGCTGGTTATATACTGTACTTGGTCGGTGAAAAGGATGTGAAATGCTCGGTGGTTTTGGTTTAGCAGGGGCTAGCAGATGTAGTTTAAGAAGCTTGCCTTCATCTCAATCTTGAAAGACACTCAAAAACGTTGCTCTTGTCTTGTGGCTACTTGTTTTTGGATATTGCTTCTTCTCTTTTGTTGCATATCTTTGAATGTGTCTTTAAATAAGAAACCTCCGCCTTTTCCAGAGTTTGATAGGATAACAAAGGAAAACCATAGGAACACCAAGTTTGTTTCTACTTTGCTAGCGGTGCATTGAGATGTGGGAGAAGCTGGGATGGAATGTAATGTGCAGATTAAAATCGATCTGTTCAGGTGCTGTCATTCAGTCAGCCATGAGATGGCCGTGCTCGGTGCTTTGGAAGCGCATGAGATGGCTTGCTCTGACATGAGCGAGATTCCTAACCTGTCTGTTTTGGATGTTTGGGTGACTGGAGTGCATCTTCCTGCCTATTGCCTGACACAGATGCATACTCTCTTCACTGTCATTGGCTGCAACCTGTTGTGGTGCTTTTTGGTCCTGAGGGTTGATCTCCAAAGGAAGGAAAGATGCCTTGCTTTCTATGCTGGACTGCATCCCCAAGATTAGCATGAAAAGCTTTGTTGTTGCAACGTGCTCTATGGGAGGAGCTTAGCAGTAAAGGCTAACAGCCAGCAAAACCGTGCAACATCTCACTATCTGACCCACGACTGAGAAAGCATGAAAACATACATGGCTTGCAGAGCCTGGGATACATGGAGAAACATCGACCTCCAAAGCCTGATGCATGACACGAAAAAGTTGCCAAGACAAAATCGACCGTTTTTGGCACTCTTGGCAGGACTCAGAGTGGCGCACCACCATCGGGGAGTTTGTGGAGGGCTTGCTGAGCCAAGACAAGTGCCCCACCATTGCTTGTTCTGTTTATGCGTCGTTCCCGATCAAAGATATCGAATAAGGGCCTTGGAAGTTACACGTCGATGGACCCTGCAACATGGAGTTTTGGAATCCCTCTTCGAGGCAGAGATGCCCTCGAGATGCCCATCTAAGCCTTTGGCAATTCCACTCAACAGTCATAGCAATTTGAACATGTCTCCTGCTGCCAATGAGTTGCTCGAGAGTCTGCGGAAAGCTGCTGCCTGCCAGTTTCAGCAGGTGGGCAGAAAGGTATTGTTCGCAGCCGGCAGGATCTGCAATTTGGAAGACAGAAGATCCTCCCGAATCGTGTAGTATCTTTAGTTTCCTTAAAAGTCTAGGAACCAAATCATTAGTGTGAGCGCTTCTTCAAGGAAGCTCCCCCGAGCGTCAGGCGGAGGGAGCTTCCTCGAAGAAGCGTGAGCTATCCTGCGTTCATATGTAGTAGCGTCCAAGTAGCTTGGATCTTACTCCCTTACTTAATTGAGTAGGCGCCTACTTAATTAAGTAAGGGCAGGCTTTAAAAGCAACATCTCAATTGTCCAACCTTGGCCATGATGCGTTGCAGTTTCCAATGCCAGGTGGTGAGCACCTGGGCCAGTCATGGGGAATGTGGTTGGTACACAGTGCCCGCCTTGGGGTGGGCAAATGGCCACCGCTGTGCGGGATGCCTATGAGGTCGGCAGTGTTGTTTTGTGGCTGGCGAAGCTTTCTTTTTGATTGGTGTGCCTGGTTTGGTGGACTTGACGGTTGAGGATTGGACGTGGGGCAGGGCCAGGGAAGAACAAACTATGTCTTGAGACGAGAACCCCAAAGCGTGAAACGCCTAGACCTTAAATCTAGCAGAGTTGGATGGTAAACCATGTGCAGCACTTTCCTGCGCCGCTTGTGTGGCGGAGGCCCTAGAAGCTGACCATGACATCGAGCTGACCCCGGCGCCTTGGAGATTTGATCAAAATTAGTACGTATTATAAATATTTAAACTTTCATGGAGTGGTGCAGAATCAAGGCGTACGAGTACTACAAGCTTGAACCCGAAAACGCGGATCAGGCCAGTCGCCACTTGCTAATTGTCTGTTTATGTTCTGTTTATTTACTGTAGATCAGAGCTGCGCTTTCTGCTCTCTTTTTAAAAGCAACTCCTTTGCTCAGAAGCTCTACTTCGGCTTCATCAGGCCTACTTCAGTGGTTGTCATGATTTCACGGATTGGAGCACTGTTCAATTCCTGTCGACTCACATGCCAGGCGAGCACTCCTGTCGGGCATCCCGGCGTTTGTGCAGCAACCACCAGAGCCAGAGGCCGTCAGTGTAGACTGTTTTGGAGAACCTCCTACAAGCCACCAAAACTCTAAAGGGGATTTCAAGTATATATATATACATATACATGGGTTTTTCTACCAGGTTTTGGCTGCAGACTCTATTTGTCTCCACTTCTTTCGCCTTTGCCGCCAAGCACTCGTGTGGACACTTCGCACCCAGCTTTTGGTCCTCCGAGGAAACGACGGTAGATATTTACGGTCCTAGGCAATACTTCAACGACTTGCAGCCACTCGGTTGTGTCGTGTTTTTTGTTTAAAGACTTCTTTTTTTAACACGACTTCTGCCCATGTCGCCGCTTGATGATGCGGTCTGCCCATACCCTGGCAGGTGCCGGCCAAGTTGAAGATCAACGGGGAGCTAGACACAGTCACTGTTGAGGCGCGCGGCTTGAGTTCAAATTGGGCCAATGAACACCGACTGTGCAGCAGAATACGCCAGACTCAATCTGCGAAGGTCAAGAACGATGAGGTCATCCTTATGGACTTGAAAAGATGCATCTTTGACTGCAAGCCGCCCGAGCTCAAGCACCATCCTCTCAAAGACTGACTTGAGGCAGTTAGAGCAAATTGGTGCGGGTCAAAGCAGAGCTGACATATTGGTGACGAGTGACTAGTGCTCGAATTACTTTGGCCCGTAGAAGCGACACACTTTGGCTAAAGAAGCTATTGAGGTAGACAGGTGAATGTCATCGGGTGTCTTGGTTGCAAATTGTTCAGTCGCTAGTTGAGGCAATGCTTTTGTCGTTTGCCTTTTTTGGGGTTCTTTTTCCTTTGTGTACAAGAAGTCGGTGCTTATACCGTAAATCAGCAACGCTTTTGCGCGACTTAATACAGCTGCCATCAATATGGCCCAAAAGACAGTGATCCTTGTCATTCCTTGTCTATACATGATGTCTCTGTAAATTTGGGATGCGCTCGAAGCCGGGCTGTCAGTCAAGGCATGGCATTCGAAAACGATTGAACCAGCAGCTACAGCTCTACTTTTCAGATGGGCGTGCCATCCTGTTGAGGCGCTGTTAGAATGATGTCCTAAGAACTGCATCCTTAGGACTTAGGAAAACAAAAAAGCAGGCAAGCAAGCAAGCAAGCAAGCAAAGCAAAGCAAAGCAAGGCAAGGCAAGGCAAGGCAAGGCAAGGCAAGGCAAGCAAGCAAGCAAGCAAGCACACAAACAAAAGCACCCCCCCCACCCACACACTTAGATAAAGGCTTGCAAGAGCAATATCAGTTGTGATCCTCCACTCTAGCGATTACAATACCGGTTTAGAGCGCTGGACACCCGATACCTGAGAAACAGCCCTGAGAGGAACAGAAAGGCGAAGAGTCGGCAACAATATTGTTTAAATCATACTGGGGAAGAAGCAGGTACACCAGGTTGATCAGACCTGGCTTCCCAGATGCAAGGTAGCTTTGTTAGGCGCAGTCCCTTGCATTTGCTGCGCCCCCCTGCTTTGTACAATTGGTGTGGTCAAGTTCCTTAGAAACAGGAATTGACACACTTCGAACTTGGGTTTTCAGTTAGACTCAATTGCCACGTTGGGAAGGATGGCGATGGAACCGTATGGTGAAAAGTCCGCGGATTTGTAGGTGTTTTAACACAGGCTGTTTCTCTTGACTGCAGACCTCAGCGGTGGTGAACGAGCGGCTCAACGCAGCTGGGGAAGAGTGGTTTAAGGGAAGTATCATGAACCACCATGGAAACAAAAAGGAAAATTGGACAGCGTGATCAACAGTTTCCTGGCAGGTACACAGATTGGCGTCCCAATCTGCTTCACGGAATGTCCACAGCTGTCTTCGTTGGCAGCAGAACTGTGGATTCCCTGCTGCCCCCTGCTGGAAAATCTTTTGAAACATGCCTCGGTTACAGTGGAACGGTGAGAACGTGAAAACCCCTTAGAACCAGGGTGTGACACACACAACAAGCCGTGATCGGCGCACAGATCAAGCGGTGGAGACACGGATCTTTTCTCTCAAAAACCGCCTGCACGCGTGCAGGTCATGCCCCTTTTGGGCGTATAGGTGGACCAGGGCTTCAGCCGCAGCGGTGGCGTTGTGGGGTGGAAAAGTGTATGTATAGATGGAATGAAGTCTTGAAGCTAAGCCGGACAGAGCCAAGCGCTGGCTACCGGCGCTGGTGTGGTCCCTGATTTTCCAGGGTTGGGTGGGTTGTATGTATGTGATGGTGCGTTGCTGGAGGTCAATGTTGAAGCCCAGAAGGTGAAAGTCCTCCACTGTTTCCAATTCGACGGGATCGCCGAAAAAGTTGTTGTGGATGAGGGTCTGGATGGCGGGGTGTGAAAGGAAGTGTTCATTGTGGACAATGAAACGGTTGTCCACGTAGCGATAGTATGTGAAGTGGAGGGCAGTGTGTTGAAGGAGATTGTTGTGAAGTTGATGCCAGGAGTGTTCGATGAGGGTGATGGCAACGTTGCAAAGGGCAGGGGAGAGCTGGGAGCCAATCCCAGCCCCCCGGATTTGCTTGTAGGTGTTGTTGCATGCCCGGAAAATGCAGGTGTCGAGTGCGTATGCCACAATGGTTGTAATGTCCTCAGTATGGATGGTGCGTTGTGTAGGGTGGCGTCGGTGGTGCCTGCCAATGTGGGAGTGGTGGAAAGGGTTGCCAGTGGCTTTGGTGTCAACTGTAAGAGTATGGGTGTGGTTCTGGCGTTGCCATTGCTGAGTGAGGGAATGGACGGCGTCAATCAGGCGGTGCTGTGGAACTGAGTTGGAAAAGCCAACAAGATCATCATTGGTGGCGTGCAGGGGAATGTCGGGTGGGGTGTCGGTGAGGTAGCAGTGAAAGTGGGACCACAGTTGTGGAATGGAAAGTTGGCCTGGATGCTGGGGAAGGAGGTGTTGTAGGATGATATCAAGGGCTCGGCTGGTAATGCGGAGGAGATTGCCGCTCAAGGACTGAAAGTACGAGATAATGGTGCGGCCTTTGCTCCACTGTTTCTTCTCCTTGAGGTGAACGATGCCGTATGGGATCGTGAAATCTTTCCGAAAGCCCCATTTGTAACGTGTGCGGAGGCTGGGGGGGATGGTGTGTATCAGGTGTTCGTGGATGTTGGACGATTGGAGTGTCGGCATGGGGGAAAAGAGTTCCGGCGACTGCCAGGTGGCAAGCGCCCCGGCGAAGTATTGGCGGGGGCAGAAAATGCGTAGCTGTTGAAGTTCGTGGTCAGCATGGTGAAGGACGACTTGGTCGCCCAGGAATTTCTGGGGTTGCCGGAGAAGGCGAGCCGTGAAGCGGGGTTGGTGTGTTTCAAATGGTCGGTGTGGAGCCTCCATTGGTGCTGGAGGAAGGGTTCCAAGTGCTGTGTGAGTGAGGGTGGAAGGCCTTGAATGCGCAGCCATTTGGTGAAAGCAGTCTGGAATGAAAGGAAATATCTGGCCTTGCTGGGGTAAAAAGTGCTGTTCATGTTGGCTGCCAGGAAAATGCGGAGGTGCGGTGGTAGTGCGAGTTGTTCAAGGGTGAGGATGTAGTGGTTGTCGACTGTGGGTGTAGTTGGATCAAGGAGAATGGTTTTCAGGTGGTCGCATGCGCATGGCAAGTCATTGGAGGTCGGAGGGTTCGGCAGCGTACCCTCCCAGGTGCGGTGGTTGTGCTAATGGGCCCGGAGAGTCTTGTGGGCTGCTTCCCGCAAACGGTGAGTAGGCAGGTGGA